CGGCTTCTCCAGGCGCTTCCTCCGAGGAGAGTCCTGCCATATGTGTCTGTGCATCTGACTGCGTTCCCTGGCTGGGTCCCTTGTCTGGAACAGTCTTGGTCTTTGGTCTCCAGTCAGAGTTTTCTAAGCATTTTGCCCCCTAAAGGCTGCCTTGTCACCCTTTTCTTGTTTTAAGGTTCATGTGAAGCCAGTGCCCTGTGTTCCCGGGACCTGCTCCTGCCCCCAGCGGGATGTGTGACTGGGGCCGTCACCCGTGTGTGCACGGTCCCTGGCCTGCGGTGACTGCACCTCCCCTGCCGACTGGCACGTGGGCGCTGTCCAGTGCAGGGCTGGCCCGAAGGCCTGGAGTCCACAGGGTACCGCTCCTGTGCCTGCCAGTGACGTCGCTGCCCTAGGGCATTGGGTCCCCCGGGGAGGGGAGTGTGAGGTTCCCCGAGGAGTCCAGCCTCGCCCGCCCTCTCCCGCTGCAGGGGGCCCAGGTGACTGAGGGGAGGCTCTGCGAGGTAGGCGAGGCACCGGTTCCTAAGCTTCTGCTGCTCAGGGCTCGCCGCCGACCTCTGTTGCTGAATCCACTCCTGTGCCGGGGGATGGGCGGCCACTCTTACTGAGCACTTACTTCCTGCTTGCCACTCCCCGAACCCTTCAGGGGTTACTTGGCCATTTCACAGGTGCGGAGGCAGAGGCTCAGGGCACAGGTGCCTTGCCCAAGTCCTGCTCAGAGGTGACCGTGACACGCACGGGTAGAGAGTGCCACCCACAGGCGGGTGAGGGGTGGGCAGGCGAGGGTCGGGGTCTTCCGGTCACTTTCCTGAGGCTGGGCCCTTGGAGCCTCCCCTTTTCACACGTGGAGCGGACCTAGTCACAGGGAGTGTGTGTACCGAGAGCCGACGTGAGACGAAGCGAGCATGCCATCTACCCGGACTTCCTGATGCTCCTGTGGATGCTCCCTGTGCTGCCCTCCAGGGGCCCTGAGGTGCCTCGACTGATTCTTGGCACCCGAGACCTGCCAGGCTGGTGGCTGGGACAAGCAAGTCCCCTGGCAGGGATGTCGTGGAGGGATAAGGGGGAAGCGCAGAGGAAGGCTCTTCTCTGGGGTGGAGGTGGGTGGGCGGCTGCTGGCCAGGGGGAAGGGGTGACAGCAGGGGATGAAGTCCCTCACTGTCACACTTTGTCCTGTACTGGCTTTCGAGTGGGATCATGGAGCTGAGGAAGGGTGTCCAAGGCCAGGGCACGACACGGGAGGCTCAGTGGTGGTGAGGCAGGGGTGGACGTCAGTTCAGAGACAGAGGTCAGGGAGCCTCTCTCTGAGATGAGACCCCCCCCCAAAAGAGGAGCTGCCTGGGAGACGGTGGCAGGTGGGGCCGGGCACAGTGAGGAGTGGAGGACGCTACACAGTGTGGCCTGTGCAAGGACCCTGGGGCAGGAACGGACCCGAAGAGTTCAAGGAGTGAATGGTGAGGCTGAGAGACAGAGGCTGGAGAAAGGAGACAAGGTGGGGTGGATATGGGGTCACACTGATATAGGAGAAATAAGAGGACTCCCAACCTGCTAAATGTCACATACGTTGAGCTCATGTTCTCCAAAATCAGTGAATTCTAAGGAACAGCGGAGGTTAAGAGTAGGAAATATTTATTGAGGGGAAAGATACAGCTCCTGAGAGACCGGAGGGGACCTAGTGGGTTGCTGGGGACCCCACTTCACAGGGGAAGTTTTACAGAGCAAAATCACGAGGTGGGTACAACGTGGGAGAAGACTATGATCGACTGATAAGATTACAAGTATAGCCGCCTAGCTAATACTGATCCAGTGGGGAAGCAGGTCACGTAGCAAGTGCACACGGAAAGAACAAGAAACTTCTGTAGGAAAGAATGGCCCTGGAGGTCTCCGTCGCCCGCCGGGGTGACTGACGTCTATCTAGACTTCATTAGACCACGTGTTACCACTTATCTCGTCCTTGGGAAGCATGTAGGCCTGGTCATTTCGTCTTTATCTTGAGGCTTGGCCTCTGACAGATGCACCTCCAGCTGCAGTTGTGATGTTTTCATCTTCTGCACTGACTCCCTGGAGGGCCCAGCCCTGTCTCTCTGCCTAGAGCATCTCTACCCAGCTCAGCTGTCTGTAATAGCACTGCCTGAGGCTGGCCAGCCAGCGGGGCCTGGGGGGCCACTCCAGCTCTGGCTGGAAGGTGACCGGAGGGCAGGAGTGGGAGCAGAGGCCTGGGAGGGGGGCCTGGGATGCGCTTTGGAAGTAGCCTTGGGGACAGGTTGGAGAACTGGCCTCGAGGACCAGAGGGTGCGGGCTCTTCGCCGACAGGGGACCCTGGGGACTGGCTGTCTGCGGCCACCTGGAGCTGTCCTGAGGGGTTCTCTGTGCTGGAAGGCTGCAGGCTTTGGGGGCCCTGCCTCCCGTGTCTGGGACGATACCTGGCAACTCCATAGGTGCCCTCATACCAGTCCCCACTCTTGCTCCACGTGGGTGGCCCTCCTGGCTCAGGAGTCTCAGCCCTGAGTTCCTTTGTTTGGAAATGAGGGAGGCCACGATGGGAAAGGCCAGCAGAGAATGGCAGGAAGTCTGCCAAGCGAGGCTGAGACCCTGGCTCTGAGCGGGGTGAGGGGGCAGGAAGAGGTCTCCGTTCAGCACACGACAGCAGAGCCACCTCTTGGGCTGACGGTGAGATGCACTGAGGGGACCTTCAGGAACAGCTGCATCAAGGTGCCCACGCCACAGATGTGGGGGTGCCGAGGTCTGGAACAGAGAGGGGAAGTGGGAATTGAGGCTTGGGACTTGTAATTCCCCACATCCTCTATAAAACAGGAGTCATAACAGACTCTTGGTAACTCTGGACCTGTGCCTGGCCCATCTGGAGCACCCAGTCCATCTTCAGCAGCCTCCATTACCTGGCTTGGACACCTACCACGTGTCATCTGGCCAGGACCCAGGACCTGCTGCCATCTCCTGACCTCTTTAAGGCAGCTGTGTCAGATCCCGAGGGAGGATTTGGACCTGTGAAAGAGAGAACCCTGAGTGGGAGCTTTGAGCACAGGCACAGGCCGTGTGCGCGGGGTGAGATCCCATCCCCAGAAGTATGCATGCTCAGTGTGACAAGCAGAGACAGTGTTGATGGCGGCATCGCTCTCCGCACCCATGGAGACTCAAGGCCTGACTCTGGCGGCAGCAGGGGATGGCAGGGCTCTGGCTGGCATCCAGGGCCCCCTGTGCCAGGTTGAGGGTGTCTGTGCCACCTTAGGTTCAGATAGTCAGCATTGGTCCTGCCCTGACACCACAGTCCTCAACTTCCAGGGTCTTCACTCAGCAGACAACCACTGAGCACCCACTGTGTGCCTAGGTCACTGGGATGTGGCTGTGATATATGTATGTATATATCCCCTTCGAGGCCAAGCCCCCAGTGACCTCACTTCCTGCTGCCAGCCCCTACCACTTAAAGGCCCCACAACCTCCCAGGATGCCACTGGCTGGACACCAAGCGTCAGTGCATTGCCTCCGAGGAATGGTTAAGCTCCAAACCATCATACTGTCCCTGCTGTGCTCGGAGGCCACCTTCCCCATCACTTGGTAACCATGTCACCTAGTTCTGTCTCTGAACCCGATTCTGGTCCCTTGATACCCTGTTCCTATTTTATTTTATTTTTATTTTATTTTATTTTGAGACAGGGTCTTGCCATGTAGTTCAGACCAGCCTTGAACTTACTGTGTAGCCCAGCCTGGCCTTGAACTTGTTGGGATCCTCCTGCCTCAGCCTCCCAAGTGCTGGTATTGCAGGCACACACCACCATGCCTGGCTCTTACTTTTGTTTTTTAATGCTTAGAACTTTAAAGTATATTTTTTATACTAGTAGGGAAAGGCCTGCTTTCTTTTTTTTCTTTTTTTTGGGGTGTGTGTGTGTGTTTTTCTTGGATGTTCCTAAACATTTCTTCACTTTCTGCATGGATGTTAGAATCACCTCAACAAGTTTTGTAGGAAATTATGCTGAGACTGTGATTAGAATTGCTTTGAGGCTGTAGATTAAGTCTAGGAGAACTGACATCTTTGAATGTCTTATGCAGGTACATGGTATATATTTAGAGTAAAGCCTACTGTCATACCCATTAGACAATCAAATATTTTTCTTCACCTAGGTCAAACATCTTTACTGTTGATTTACTGCTAGGTTTGCGTATTTTGTAAATAAGATTTTCCTACTAATATTCTTATTTAATTGTTTCTGGTATATAAGAAAGCCACTAATTTGAGTTGCTGGTTTTGTTTTGGGCCATCACGTTAGAATAACAATTGTTCATTAGCATTAATTTTAATACTTTTTAAGTTGTCATTTTCTTGGGTTGTTTAGGCCTTGCACAAGCTAGGCGAGCGCTCTGCTTCCAGCAATCTGATTTCAAGATGTTCTCACATCAGATTCCTGTCACCCTCCCCAGTCACAATACATTTGCCCTTAACTGTCTTTCAATTTCCTTGCTAAATTGGGTGTGCCCATTGCTGCTAATGCTTCTCCTTTTCCCTCCCTCCTTCCCTGCTTCCTTTCTTCCCTCCTTGTTTCTTTCGTTCCTTCATTGGTACTGGGGATTGAACCCAGGGCCATCACACTGGGCTACTCTCCAGCCCTTTATTTTTTTTATTTTGAGACAAGGTCTTGCTGAGCTGCCCACATTGGCCTCAAACTTGTGATCCTCCTGTCTCAGCTTCCTAAATAGCTGACATTACAAGTGTGCTCCACACCTGGCTACCGCTGCTGCTTTCTTATCTCCTGCCCCACCTTGGGGACTCAGATCAGGCTCCTTAGAAGCAAAGCCGGGGTCAGAGTGTCCCTGTGGGGACACTTCTCAGGAGTGGGGGTGGGAGCTGGAGGGGCCGCGGCCCTGGTCCCCGAGAGCTCCTGTTGTGGTGGCCCTACAGCAGGGTCCACCTGCCAGTGAGGGACGAGGTCTGGCCTCAGCCCTGGACCCTCGGATCCCGGCCTCCTCTGCCCCTGCCTTGCCCACAGGCTCCACCAAGGACCTGATTGAGTCGTGCTGCGCGGCGGGACAGCAGTGGGCCATCGACAATGACGAGTGCACAGAGATGCCTGGGAGTGGTGCCGAGGGTGATGTGTGCAGGTGAGACGCCCCACGGGGACATCCGGGGAGCCTCTCACCCCTCGTTTCTCCAGAGGCACCTGACCTGCTCATTTCTCCAGGCGAGAGGCTGCGTGCCTGGCTAGAATCAGTCTCCGTGTTTTCCAGAGCCCAGCCTACACTGCCTTCCTCAGGGAAATTTCGACCCTAACTCACTCTCCTGTCTCCTCTCCCTTCCCACCAACTGGGGGTATAATGAGGAGGAATGAGAGCATGCGCCAGTCAGACCCTGGGAGTCTGGGCTTCATGGCCACGGTGTACACTTGTGTCCCTCTTCTGACGGGGAGCTCACCACTTCCATCACTGAATAAGTGACCCCAGGACACGGCCACCTCAGGTGCTGCACCCCACACCCCATGTCTCCTGCAGCCCTGGCCTGCTCATTGGCCACCTCTGCCCCAGGATGGCCCTGCATGAAGGCCCTTCTGGGACTGGGTCTCCCTGTGCCAGTCAGTCCTGGCAGAGGGCACTGAATGGCGGCCCCTCCCCGGGAGTTAGGGACCCACAGCTCTGAGTCTCCTTGCTTAAGCCAAGAAACAAACCCACACGACCTGTGGGATTGGCACTGCCCTGCCACCCACACTGGTCCACCGTGGCAGTGTCTGGGGCAGCCCACTCTGCCTGTTCTGTGGTGGGGGCCTGCAGGAGTGGGGTGCCTGCAGGGCTGACCTCCCTGCTTTGCAGGACGGCACAGAGGCACTGCTGCGTGTCCTACCTGAAGGAGAAGAGCTGTGTGGCCGGTGTGCTGGGCGCCAAGGAGGGCGAAGCCTGCGGGGCCGATGACAATGACACCTGCAGTGTGTCCCTGTACAAGGCAAGTGCCCTGGCCTTGCTGCGGAGCGGGAGGGTCTCCCATCCTGGGGGTCCCACCACCTGTGCAGAAAACACCGCCAGCTGCCATGTGACCCATTGTGGGCGAGGCACTGTCCCAGGCACTCTCAGAAAACACCTGGTGACAGGCCTGCTCTGTGGGCATCCCTGCCGGGGGATAGCAAGGGCGGAACACGGTCCTGTGTGCTGTCAGGAGGCGATGGTGCCACAGAGGAAGAGCTAGGGAGAGGAGGGCGTAGGCAGTGATGTGATGGGTGTGGCTGAAATTTCACCGGGTGGTGGCTGGCCACAGCCACACCAAGAAGGGGATCCTCATGTAAAGGCCTGGAGGAGGTGGGGGTGAGTAGTGCAGATGTCTGGGATGCTTCCCAACCAGAAAGATGGTACAGTATGTGCAAAGATCCTGAGGTCAGAGTGCATTTAGCATGGCCCGAGTGGGGAGCTACAGGAGCTGAGGTTGTGCAGGTGGTGGGCAGGTCACTGGCAGGACTGTGGCTGGCCTAAGGGAGGGATTGGGTGCCAGGGAGGGTTTAAAGGATGTAATTGGGTCCTCCCTGGCAGTGTGGGGACGGGTCTTTAGGGGGCCTCCTCCTGCATGGCAATGGGGTGGGGTTGGGCAGGGGAAGCAGCGTGGGCTGACAGAAGTAGGAAGTAGGGTGTGGGGGACAGGCTCTGGGACTCCTGCCACACTGAGGTCTTCGCCCAGCAGGGACTTTTCGGAGGGAAGTGGCTTGTGCTGGTCCAGGGTGGCCGTGCGCCCTCCAGGCAGAGGCAGGGGAGGGTGGGGAAGGGATTCTGATCTCCGCAGTTCCTTTTTGTTGTGGTCAAATGCGTGTGACTTAAAATCAATCCCAGCATCTGGAAGCGTGCCGTCCAGGGGCAGTAAGCTCATGCGCATCATTGTGCGACCATCACGCTGTCCAGGTCTGTCCATCTTCTCAAACTGAAACTCTGTCCCGAGCCGCTCTAACCCCCACCCCTTCCCCAGCCCCTGGCACCCCCACACCCCCCATTTCCCTCTCCGTGAATTAGGGCACTCTGGGGACCTCAAGAAATGGACTCACCAGTGTTGTCCTCTTGTGACTGGTTATTGTACTTACAATAATGTCCTCAAGATTCATTTGTGTTGTCACATATGTCAGAATTCCTTTCTTATTTTCCTAGTGGTGGAGAATTGAACCCAGGGCCTTCACACTGCACTATATCTCCAACGCTTTTAAAAATTTTGAGACATGGTCTTGCTAAATTGCCCAGGCTGGTCTCAAACTTATAATCCTTCCAGAGCACTGGGATTGCAGGCAAGGGCTACCACACCCAGATAAAAGAGCACCCCCCCTTTTTTTGGTACTGGGGATCCAACTCAGGACTTTGCGCTTGCGAGGCAGGCAACGGCACCACTGAGCTAAATCCCCTGCCCCAAGAGCCCCCTTTTAAAGGAAGACAATGCCTCTGCTTAAATTTCATTGGCTAAAACTTAGTCACGTGGCCACATCAAATTGCAAGGGAGGCTGGGAAATGTAGTCCTTATTCTGAGGAGGTCGGCAGCCCACTGAAAACCAGGAAGAAGGAAAATAGAGTTGGGTCGACGGTGAGCTGTCTCTGCGGCAGAGGTGAGAGCAGACAGGCTGAGAACAGTGTCTGGAGACCTTGAAGAAGGGGCCTGGTCCTGACTGGGGAGGAAGTGGAAGAGTTGAAGAAGTCCAAAGGTCCAGAGCCTGGATAATGGTGATGGAGGCCTTTGGACAGAGCACTGGGGAAAGGATTTTGACTTTGAGTTCTGTCATATTGGAATTCATTTTTCCTGATGTTAGGAGAGAACCTTGTTGACAAGCAAGCGTGGAATCCCATTTCTTTCTTTATGCTTATCTCTAGGCCAATTCCCAGCTCTCAGCATCGGCTCCTCCCTCTAGAAAATGGGGCTAAAAATCCATGACCTTCATGGTGTGGGAAGATCAGGGACAATGACAGGAAGGAGGTGTGGCGTCCACAGTGGGGCTTCAGTTGGGTGGTTCCACCCCAGGATACATGAACCTGGAGTGTCAGCTAGCTATCGCTGTGTAACAAAGCACCCACAGCTCCACAGCTTCTGACTGGCCCAGTGCACGAGTCTGGTCAGCTGTCCAGGACATGGCCCAGGTGGTCCCTGTGACCTTGCTTATGTGGAGCCATGAGCCATCTGTCCAACCCTGTAGGCTGCCTTGGGTCGAGTCAGATGGTAGGTGAGTGGGATTCTAAGGAAGGGGATGAAAGCTGCGTTGGTCAGCTTTCTGGCACTGGGACACAGCATAAGCGACCTAGAACCTCCCACCAGGCCCCACCTTTCAAAGCTCTGCTGCCCCCTAGTAGCCCAAGCCGAGGACTGAGCCTTCACAACTCAGGCCTTTGGAGACCCAGATCCAGCTGTAGCTGTGTACAAGGTGGCACACTGTCCTGCGTCACCCTGCTGGCCAAACCAAGTCCTCAGGCACAGCTACTGCCGTAGGAGGAGGAGCTGAAATACATTGCGAAGAAGTGGACTCAAGGAAGAGGGAACACTTGGAGCAATCTACCACCATAGCTAAAAGCAATTAAACCTGATTTCCCCTTGGAAGTATGCAGTGTGAGATGGGGTAGATCTGTACAACTCTAGGGACCCAAGTTCCTCATTTTCTTTTTAATCTCCCCTGGTGTGGACCCCCCTTCTTCAGGGATACTTCATGGCCTAGATGGCTATAAAAAAAACGTAAAAGATAAAAAGGGCTGGGGGTGTAGCTCAGTGTGAAGGCCCTGGGTTCAATCCCTAGTACTGAACCAAACCAAACCAAACTACTGCAAACTCTGCCCTGTGGCTCTAACTCGACTGTTGGCCATGTCTCCCTACAGCAATGCTGCGAATGCTGCGACCTGGGGCTCCGCGTGCGGGCTGAGGGCCAGTCGTGCGAGTCCAACCCCAACCTGGGCTACCCCTGCAACCACGTCATGCTGTCCTGCTGCGAGGGCGAGGAGCCCCTCATCGTGCCCGAGGTCCGCCAGCCTCCAGCGCCCGGGGCTGCGCCGCGCAGAGGTGGGTGCTGTCCCTCCTGGGCCAGAGCCTGTGGGCAGTTTGGGGAAGAGGGGGGGAATGTGGGTGGCTCCAAGCCCAGGCTGGACCCTGCTGCCTTCTGGGGGGACCCTGGGCCTGTCACTGTCTGTAGCTTTAGGTATGAGCTCTGCTTGAGACAGAGTTCTGTGGCCTCGGACTGGACTCTGCCCTATAGATTTGGAGATCAGGATCTCACCCGGTTCTCTGTGTGCCACCCATTCCACCCACTGACCACCAGCACCCCGTCACCCTCCACTGTCCACTCCTTACCCTCCCCTCTCTGCCCACTTACACATCCTCATTTTCCTCCCCATACACTTACCATCTCCCCATCCACTCACCCATCCACCCACTCACCCAACCTGGGGGCTGCTTGAGCACTGATGTGAGAACCAGCTTATGACCTAGAAGAGTCTGGTGTGAGGTGGTATTGGAGGAAATCCAGCCTCAGGGATCAGAAGGCAGATGGGCAGGCAGGGAATAGGTGGGACGCAGGGCAGGCAGCAGCAGGGCCGGTTACAACAGGTTCCTTCCTCCTGGGAGGAGCTGCTGGTCAGCCTGGCCACAGAGGTGCTGGCATTTGGGCCAGGTTGGCTCTGAATATGAGCTGAGCTCAGACGAGGCGGGTACGGGCTGGTCCCAGTATACTGGGGGCCCCCGGTCCAGGTCTGCCTCAGCCGCCTGCAGGCCTGATGAGCTGGAGCTTAATGTAAACATTGTCATATGAAACACGTTCCTCTCGTGTGACTTCATCCAGCTGTTCTCTCTGGGGACTCGGCTGCCTGTGGGTGCTGGAAAGGATGAAGCCTCAGGTGGCACAGAGCTTTGGAGGGGCTGCCGGCCTTGGCCATGGTCCTGGCCCTCCCTCCCTGCGATGTTTCAGAGAGAGGTTCCGAAAGCTGCTCAGCCAGCCCCTTTCCTCTCGCTCCCTGTCCTCCCCACAGCCCTGGGAGGTGGGTTGATCCCAGAGACCTGGTGCTGCTCAGAGTAACGTAGACAAGGAAGGCCCAGGTTCCGATCCCCATTCAATAGCACCCAGGTTTGGTGCCCTTCTATGGCCAGGGGACATCTCCCTGATGTCACTGAAGCCGGGGTTCTGAATCCAATTTAGCACCTTAGCAGCAGCTTTCTTGGGGACTGGAAGACTGTTCATTCATTTGCTATTCCATCCATCCATCCATCCATCCATCCATCCATCCATCCATCCATCCATCCATCTGCTCTATCCATGCATCCATCTGTCCACCCACCCATCGGTCCACCCATCTATCCATCAGTCTGTCCCTCCCTCCCTCCCTGCATCCTTCCTCCATCCATCTTGCCTCCGTCCTCACCACGTGCTGAACCTGCCTTGGTGTGTGGGACTTGTGTGCCCAGCCACCTGCTCAGGCCAAGCTGCCTCTGTCCTGAGCTCAGCCCTCTCACCCCAGTTTCAGAGGCAGAGATGGGAAGCCGGGAGGCCCTGTTACTAGGCCCGGAGGCTGAGCTGCCCAACAGCCTGCCAGGCGATGACCAGGATGAATGCCTGCTGCTGCCAGGCGAGCTGTGCCAGCACCTATGCATCAACACTGTGGGCTCCTACCGCTGTGCCTGCTTCCCCGGCTTCTCGCTGCAGGATGACGGCCACACCTGCCACCCAGGTGAGGAGCGGGCAGGGGTGAGGCCTTCTGGCCAGAGGGATGGCATGGTGCTTCACTTCCTGCCACCGCTCACGTTGGGACTGTACCAGTCAGCCACAGAAACTCTTGAAGCCGGCCAGAGAGATTCCATCTGGAAGCCACAGGTTCAGAGGCTCCGCCCAGACCCACTGTGCCCATGCAGAGCCCTGGTGTCCAGCCTTGGCTCAGCAGGGCTTTCTCCCGGCAGGCTGTCGGGTGGATTCCTTTTTGCCCGGATACTCTTCCTCCTCCGCCTCTTCCTTCCTGCTTACCTTCCCTCCACGCATCTCTGCCCCAAGTAGCTGCGAGATGGCTCTTACCCGGGAAGCATCTGGGCCCGAGCCTCAGTTTCCTCTCTGACATGGGAGGGGCTATGATGAAGGCGTCCACCACTGCCCAGTGTGGTGCGCAGGCATCAGACAGGCTAGTGCCCCTGAGTCTCTGAGGCTTGGAGAAGACCTGAGCTCCACCCTCTGCTCTGTCTTTGCCCTGGTAGACAGGACTGTGCCACAGCCAGGGGCCACACGGGAGTCTGTGCCGAGATCTGAGGCTGCCCAGGCAGCCCTCAACACCATCCCACTGCTCGTGCCGCAGCCCAACACCTGCAAAGGTGAGCCGAGGGCACTGGGTGTCCCCACTGGGCCACTGGGTGGGTCTGGGCTGCTGGGTGCTGGCAAAATGGCCCTGGCAAAGCGGTGCTTCTGCTTGGGGGGTGGGGTTGCCTGTGTGCCCTGGGTGAGGAGCGGAGAATGTAGCTGTGGAGCTGAGATGAAGGGAGCCTCCGGCCAGGTGTGTGGGCCCCAGAAAGCCAATTGGCCACTTTTTGCCTCTCCCTCTACAGTTAAGATAGTGCATCCTTGTTTGGTGCAGACAGAGGTCCGGTGCAGTATGCTTTCCTTACTGTTCCTCTCCCTTCATTCCATCCCTGTTCCCCCTTTCTTGCCATGCTGGGGATGGAATCAGGGCCTCATCGTGCCTGCTGGGCGAGTGTTTTACTCCTAGCTGCATCTGACCGTCTGTCCGTCCATCCATCTGTCCATCCCTCCCTCCCTCCCCTTATTTCGCTTGCCTCTCTGCTTTCCATCTTTTCCTCCTTCTGTATCACTAGAGGAGTAGGTTGGGATCTCAAGAATGTCCCTGCCCCCAGCCGGCCCTGGAGTCCATGTAGCTGGTGACCCAGCAGAGAGAGAGGTTCTTGAGTCCCAGTTTCTCTGCCTCCCTATTCCTGTTTATGCCTTTGCATCATGGATCAGAGCCAGGGTGACAGGAACCCTCGAGGCCGGCACCCTCTGACCCGTGTGTCTCCCCTAGACAACGGGCCCTGCAGGCAGGTGTGCAGTGTCATCAGAGGCTCGGCCATGTGCTCCTGCTTCCCCGGCTACGCCATCATGGCGGACGGCGTGTCGTGTGAAGGTGAGTGCCACAGGGCCAGCCTGCTCCCTGTGGTGGGCACTGGGAGTGACAGGTGGGCAGCTGTGGCAGAGCCCCTGTCCCTCCAGGGTGGCCCCATGCTGCCCAGGTCCCGGGCCTGGGCTCCTTCCAGCTCCTTGCTCTGTTCTTCCGGGAATAGCACTGCTCAGACTCAACTGCCCCTCACTGCCCACCTGCACCCCGTCACCTGGAGACCTGGTGGGGACAGATGCCTGGCAGCGCCTCAGAGCCCCCAGAGCTCCCACTTAGTGGGTCGAGTGGGATGGGGCACTGGTGTTTCTCATGAGGTCCGGGGCCACACTTCCACTTCCTGTGTCCTTGTGTTGTCCACGTCTGTGGTGGGAGTTGGTCCGTGAGCATCTTGTCCATCTGTTTCCTGTCCCGGGTGGAGAAGGGGAAGGATGGAAGTGACATTCGCTTGTTTAGGGATGACACCCAGGAGTGGCCTCCACCCCTGCTGGCTTGCAGTGGGGGCTGGTATGGGGGCCCTGGCCAGCCTGTGCTACCAAGACAGAGGCAGGATGGGTATTGGTGACAGTGAGCTGTCACAGCCATTCATGAAGAGGCCCATGTGCTTTTCACCTGGGTGGCCTTACTGAGGTGGCGTGGTGTCCCCATGGGGCTCTGCAGGCCAAGACCCCTCCCTGCACAGTGTTGGCACGAGTCCATTGCTGCTCAGGGACAGCCTGCACGTCCCCAGCCTCTACCTCCTTGTGACAGATGGGAGGGGGGACTGAGTGTGTAGAGGGTCTGGGTGAAGAGACCTGGCACTAGTGGGTCCAGTGTGGATAAAAACATGCTGTGAGCCCAGACAGGGTGGCAGACTTGCCCAGGGCACGTGGCACCGGGGGAATCTCAGTGCCGGGCCGCTCTCGGTCTCCATGGTATTGTTCCCTGGGCTCTGTCCCCTGCCACCTCCCAGGGTCCTGAGGACAGAAGAGGGCACCACTGTGGGGTTGCTGGCCCTGTGGCCCGGCCAGTGTACCTGCCTCTCCAGCCTGCCTTCCTCTGGGGCCCTGGCAGGAGGAGCTGCGGGCAAAGGCAGAGGGTGCAGCGGACAGTCTGAGGGCACACACAGCCTGCTCCGTGGAGGAGCCTGGCTCTTCTCCACTGTCTGAAGTAATCCAGTGACACCCAGCGATGGCCAGCTCAGGCATTTTTACAGCTTTTGGGCTTCTCTTGCCCTGTCCTGCTCTGGATGGACCCCAGCACAACACAGCACCTCTATTGTACCCTTGTGCCCTCTCCTGGCCCCTGAACCTTCAGTGTGAAGCCCCGTGTGGTGGACTGCATGCTGCCTGTGGCTGTGGGGTTGGTACACAGCGTGGGAGGGAAGCGGCACCTGGTGTGCAGCGCTGTGTGGCCCTAGGCTGCCTGCCTACCCTCTTTGAGTCTCACCTCCGTTGGTCCTTGCAGGACTCAGCTCTGACATCTTTGAGCTCTGTGAGCTCAGACTTGGGCACTTCCTACCCCTCTGGTCTTGGCTGGCCCTCTGTCACTGGGCTGCCCCAGTTCTCTAACGGCCCCTCTGTTTTTCCTTCCGCGGCTGCCACTAGACCAAGACGAGTGCCTGCTGGGCACTCACGATTGTAGCCGGCGCCAGTTCTGTGTGAACACCCTGGGATCCTTCTCCTGTGTCAACCACACAGTGCTCTGTGCTGAGGGCTATATCCTCAACGCGCACAGGAAGTGCGTGGGTAAGCGAGGGCCCCGCCTGCGCCCGCCCGAGTCATGGCTCTGCGCTCTGCCACGCAGGCCACATGCTAAAGGCCCGTCCTTTGCATGTGAGCCCTCTCACAGCTGTCCCCGTGCTCCGTGTCACACCCCCGTGTCCTGGTGTCTTGTCCCGCTTGTCCTCTGGGAGGCCGCTTGCCCCAGGGACGTGCCTGTGTGTCCGAAAGCGCTAAGGGGACGTGTCCCCGGCTGGTCACTGTCAGGGCTGTGGGACGGGGTGCATGGGGTCAGCCCATGGACAGCACGGCCCCCAGCTGCAGCTGGAACCTTTCCAGGGGTGGGGACAGGGAGTGCGGCTGGCACTCCCGGCTTTGTCCCCCAGCTTGGAATTGTTTGCTGAGCGACCCCAAGCTCCTCTCTGAGCCTCCACAGGGCCCAGAGGAGGGGGACAGGGCAGAGTTCCAAACCTGCACTCGCCTGTGCCTGGCCCGGGCCAGCGCCGGTCCCAGCTCTCCGCTCCTATTCCTGTGCCCTGTGGTTTGGGGCTCCAGGGCCTCTCTGTGGGCTGAGGAGGCCCTGGTACCCCACTGGGTCTGGGCCACCTGATGCTCTCACAGAAGGGACATGAGCCCTTGTCTTCCACTGTTCTGAGATAGACCCAAGGTCGCAGTGTGCGGGACACAGGCATAGGGAGGTGTCCTTCTGCTGGTGCCACCCGCGTGTCCTTTCTGGAGAGGTGGAATTTGCACCTGTCTCTGAGGATGGGTGGAGAGTACAAGGGCAGGAGGCAGGGAGCAGAGTCCGTCTGTCTTTTCTGTGCTTGGGGACCGTGTCTGGTGGCGCAGCGTGCTGGCCAAGGTCCCCGCAGTCATGCATGTCCAGCCTCGGGCACAGCATGTACCTCCTGACCTGCCTGCCAGTGGATGGCAGCTCTTCCTGGCTGGGGTGGCCTGTGTCTGTCTGGGGAGATTTGCCGGGATTTGTGCACCCCCTGACCACGCCCTGGGGGGGGGCTCCTTGGTGGCCTGGAGACAAATCTGGGAGGTGAAATGGGTCCCTAACAGCTGGAACAGGTGCTGGGGACATTGAGTCAGCACAGGTCTGTGCTCATGTTCTCTTTCTGTCCTTTCGTGTCCAGCACAAACCCACACACATTCTCACTTGTGTGCTTGTGTGACCATGTCAGTGCCCCTGACACACCCGGCCTTTGCACATCTGCATTCATCTCCCAGCTCGTTAACCTGGCAGGTGACAGGAAAGTGGCCTCAAAGCCAGACTGCCTGGGTTCAAATCCCACCTCTGCCTCTTTCTACTTAGAAGGTGTTGAACAAGCTGGGGACAGTGATGCACGCCTGTAATCCCAGCAGTCTGGTAAGCTGAGGCGGGAGGATTGCAAGTTCGAACCCAACCTGGGCAGCTCAGCAACTTAGCTAAATCTCAAAAAAAGCAAGCAAGCAAGCAAGCAAGCAAGAAAGAAAAGGGATAGGGATGTAGCTCAGTGCAAAAGATTTAAAAATTTTTAAAAGAATTTAAATCAGTTAAGCTCTTGGCTCTCAGTTTCTACATCTGTGAATGAGATAATAGTGCCCACCTTCAAAGGGCATGGTGGAGATGAAATGAAGGGACTTTGCTAGTGGGGTTTTTTTTTGTTTGTTTGTTTGGTTTTTTGAGACAAGGTCTTGCTATGTAGTTCAGACTGGTCCTGAACTCACTATGCAGCTCATGCTGGCCTTGAACTCCCATCGATCCTCCTGCCTCAGCCTCCCAAGTGCTGGGATTACAGGTGTGCACCACCTTGCCCAGCTTTGCCTGTGTTTTGATATCATGATTATTCTACAAGTGTATCACACTGAGTCAGTGTCCTGAGGTGGTGAGCTCCTCATAGCTGGAGGTATGTAAGCCAAAGAGGGGCAGTAGTGGGTACGACCTCTGCTAGGGACTCCCCTGTACTTTTATCATTTGCCTTTTTTGTGCCCTGCACTTTGAGGACTGTCCTGGCCCTGGGAAAAGTGTTCTAGGCGGGGTGGGCTGCAGGAAGATGGGAGGGGACCGCTCACCCCGTACCAGGAAGTGCACCGGGAGGGTGTAGCTGGCGCTGGGAGGTCTGGCTTTCTTTCTGGCTGCTGCCAATAGGCGGCTGACGGCCTCCCCATCCTGTGCTTGTGTATCTGCGCATCTGGCCGGCGCGGGCATTTGTATGCGTCTTGTTCACTGGTGTGTGCGTCCTTCTTGCCAAGAAGGGCGCTTGGCATTTCGTGGGTGCTTCCTAAATCTTTGTTGAATAAAGGAGTGCATGGATGGGGGGCCTCAGCTGCGCACTTCGCTCCCACTCCCAAAGGTGAGTACCTCCAGGGCAGGGCCTGAGCGCCTCCCCCTGGTGGCCCGAGGGCCCCTGGCTGCTCCTGGCCACTATCCATCTCGGGAGCACTCTGGGAGCCCTGACGGTCAGCCTCGCTCTCCTTGCAGACATCAACGAGTGCGTGACGGACCTGCACACATGCAGCCGGGGCGAGCACTGCGTGAACACGCTGGGCTCTTTCCGCTGCTACAAGGCCCTCACCTGCGAGCCGGGCTACGTCCTCAAGGACAGGGAGTGCGAAGGTGAGACGGGCAGGGGGAGCCTGGCCCCGCCCCGCCCCGCCCCGCCCCGCCCACTAGCTCACCCCTCCCTGCCCTGTGCCTGGCTCCTCCCACGCTCCGCCCCTTGCCCCAGCCCACCCACCCTATCCCCAGCCCACCCACCCTATCCCCAGCCTAGCTCCGACCCCCTCCCCTTCCCCCCCTTCCCCGCCCCACCGACACCTGCCCCGCCCCCACCAGCGCCACACCCCCCGGCCCCGACCTCTTCCTGCTCAAATCCGCCTTTCTTGCAGGCTCCCAGTATTTTGGTCTTTTGCTAAAGGGTGGACCCCGCAGGTGGTGTTGGGGCGGAAGTGGAGGAGTTGGAGCTGAGTGTGGGAAGGCCAGGGTCTGCCTCGGGCTTTCCTGCTGCCTGCTGGTGTCTGGGTGCCACACCGTGGTTCCCTAGTTTCTACGAGGGGTTGAGCCCAGGGGATGAGGATCTCACTGCGAAGTCCCAGCCTTCTAGGGAGAATTTTCATCCCACTGAGCAAATACTCCCCGAGCTGCCCCTGTGGCCGGCAGGGATGAGGACCAGGGGTACAGGCTGGGTGCTGGGTCCTGCTCTGACCGCGTGGTAGGGGACTTGGGGAGTACAGTAGCAAATGAGGACGGCTAAGTGACCGAGGGCTGGGTGCAGGGAGGCCCCCAGAGGAGGTGACGCTGCAGCTGGGACCTGAATGATGGCAGCTGCGGGCTGAGGGAGCATCGTGGCCTGAGCGAGGGGCGGAGGGGTGAGGGCGGGAGCAGAGTCTCCAGGGGTGGAGGCTATGGACTACCTATGCTGTCTCCCCATGGTGTCGCCAGTAACCGCCCCATGGGGACATAAGCACTCATCCCTACTTCTGTCCAAACCAATGTGGGGCAGCGAGCTGTTGCCAGTGCAGGTTCTGGGGCCTGACTGCCTGGGCTCTGCTCCTAGCCCTGTGCGCCTTGCCATGCCTCAGTTTCCCCTTTGTAAGATGGGGCCAGCATAGCATCTGCGTCCTAGGGTGGTTGTGAGGCTGAAGTAATCGGTGCATCTGGCAGTGCTTAGACCAGGAGAAGGCTCAGTACATGTGCTCGTTTCACTGTAACCACCGGGACCTGGGCCATGCCAGTCACACGGCTCTGCGAGCTTCTGGGAATGCAGACCTCTGTGACCGTCAAGGTCACAGTGTGGAAGGGGGATGTGACATTCGGCCTCTGTGTGCAGATGTGGACGAGTGTGCCGTGGGCTCGCACACCTGCAAGCCTGGCTTCTCGTGCCAGAACACCAAGGGCTCCTTCTACTGCCAGGCCCGGCAGCGCTGCATGGAGGGCTTCCTGCAGGACCCCGAGGGCAACTGTGTGGGTGAGTTGGCTGTGGGCATGCTGGGGCTCCCAAGGGCTCCCAGACCAGGCAGGCCTGGCTGGCTGCTCTTCCGGTCCACCTGTGTGCCAAGCATCTGCAGAATGGTAGCTACTTTCTTACCCGGAAGTGTCTGACCTTGGCTCTGTTATTTCTCTCATGGCCTCAGTTTACCATCTGTGGGACTGGACTGAAGCCTTTTTTTGTGTGTGTGGAGACAGTCTCGCTATGCAGTTCAGATTGGCCTTGAACTCACTATGTAGCCCTGGCTGGCCTGGAATTCCCAACGAGCCTCCTGCCTCTGCCTCCCAAGCTGGGATCACAAGTGTGGGCCACCCCACCTGGGACTGGACTGAAAAAATGCTTATCAAATGTTTTGAACCGGGCCAACAAGACTATATTTGGTTATGATCTGGGACATGCACACATATCCATGGACAGCTGGCACACAGGTTCACAGAACAATAACTCAGGCTCACTGAAATCTTCATTTTCAAAGAATGTTATCAAGGCCTGAGATGATTCTGTGCTGTGCTCATGGGTTGAGGCTCACAGATGGACAGATGCTGGCCTCCTTGCCCCAAGAGGGCCAGTCCTGAACCAACCAGGAGGGCCACCTGCCAGTGCAGCAGCTGGAGGGGAGCTCACAGCCACCCCAGCCATGGGGTAAATGGCGCAGAGAGACAGTGGGGAGGGACCAGGCAGACAGGACCGGGACACTGCCCTCTTGCCTGCCCTTCCTCATGACCACAGGGAGGAGGCTGGGGTCCTGGGGGGGGGGGCTCTGGCTTTGTGTGAAGGCCTTCTCAAGATTCTAGGGGTCCTGCTGGCCAGTCTGGGGCCCTCCCCAAGACACCCCCTTTAATGTCTCCTTGCCCTGTGTCCTCACCAGTGTGTCACACAGGGCAGGGGACCCTCAGGACCTTCAGGATTCCTGTGGTTTGCGGGGTACCACCCTTTCTGGCCAGGGTCAGGGAAGGTGGGGTCTGCCTGATGGACAGCTCCTCAGGGATTCAGTCACAGGGGACCTTTTTGTGCTAGGCTTCTAGGTGTGGGGGGGCCACAACAGCCTGATGAGAAAGTTTAGAGAGAAGCACCAATAAGCATCAGTAAGCAAGCAGGTTTAAAAGTGTCAGAGAGCTCTCTTACTCATGGTTCCGGAGGGCCTCCCACAGCGGGTGACATTGGGGCCTAGAGCAGAGGAAGTTGTGCTTGGGAAGCTGGGCACAGGTGCAAAGGCCCTGGGGTGGAGCTGTATGTGTGTGTGTGTGGGGGGGGTGAGGGCGAGCTGGGGGAGGGCCTGGTTGGCACATGCCGTGTGCTTTGTAGGATGGGCAGCTCTCCGGGAGAGCAGGGGTGTGGCTCGCTATAGTCACCCAGACTCAGCCTTCATTTCTCCCCTGCAGACATCAACGAGTGCACCTCACTGCCCGAGCCCTGCCGCCCTGGCTTCAGCTGCGTCAACACAGTGGGCTCCTACACGTGCCAGAGGAACCCGCTGGTGTGCAGGCACGGGTACCACGCCAGCGAGGACGGGACACAGTGCGTGGGTAAGGCGGGCGCCCCAACCGAACCTAGAAGGCCGGCGCCGCGGGCGGGCGGGCGCGCACTCAGGGCGGCGCCTCTCCCGCAGACGTGAACGAGTGCGCCACGGGCGTGCACCGCTGCGGCAGCGGCCAGGTCTGCCACAACCTGCCCGGCTCCTACCGCTGCGACTGCAAGCCCGGCTTCCAGAGGGACGCCTTCGGCCGCTCCTGCATCGGTAGGTGGCGCCCCGCGCCCGCTCCCGGGGCCTGGCCCGCCAGCCGCTCCTCCAGGCTCCGGCCTCCTAGGGCTTCTCCCTGCGGCTGGGCGGCAGCCTCTGTGCCCCTTTGCCTGGTTCTGTCCCCTCCTTCCCCCCATCCCTGCGCTTTCCTCTGCCCGGGTGGACCTGGCTAGGCAAAGGGCGCTGGCTTCCGGTCAGCTCCGCCCTCCTTGCGCCACCCGCCTGGTGCCCACGGCCACCCCACCCCTCCGCAGATGTGAACGAGTGCTGGACCTCGCCGGGCCGCCTGTGCCAGCACACGTGCGAGAACACACTGGGCTCCTACCGCTGTTCCTGCGCCAGCGGCTTCCGGTTGGCGGCCGATGGCAAGCACTGTGAAGGTACTGCCTCTGGCCCCGCCCATCCAGCCGACCTGGCCTCTAGCCCCTTCAACCATGGGATCTGGTCCCGCCCACTCTGGTCTCTGGCCCCGCCCACCCCATCTCTGGCCCCGCCCTGGCCTCGGGCTTCTCCAGACCTGCCCTGGGGCTGACCTGGGCGCCCACGCTGCAGGTGACCAGAGTTGCAGGCAGGGGAACTGAAGCCAGGAATGCAGGGATAGATAAGGGATTAAGAGAACAGGGGCCACAGAAGTGGGTGGTGGTCGCAGGGCACCCTCACATGTGGCACCTGGCATTCGGGCCCATGGCATCCTCATCTTGGCTTTCCAGTAGCCAGAATATCCATATTTCTGTAAAACCTAGTGGCGTTGACACGTCACAGATGGATTCAAACTTCAAAGAACACACTGGATTAAACCTAACGGTACGGGGAGGGGGGGCGGCCTTGTGCCCGCCCTGGGCTCACCCGTGGCGGACCAGAGGGGATGTCCTAGGTTCCGTGCATACTTACCTCTTCACCTGTGGCTGGTTTAGGCCAGGTGGGGACCTACAGGGAGGGAGCCCCTGAGGGAGGAGCCAAGGGACCTGGGGTTCCTGCTTCCTTGCCCCTCCCTGCCTGCTGCCCTTGCTCACTTCCCTTCCTGCCGGAGGTGAGGGGCTGCAGGACCCCTGAAGAGGCCTTGTGCTCCTTCCCCGGCCGTTCCAAGGGCCAGGACCATCTGGCAGAGCAGCTCGCCACTTGTACACATACGCAACATGGCCTGTCTTCTGTGAACCCATGCCCCTGTGTCATGTGCTGCCGAGGACTCAGTCTGGTTCAGGCCCAGTGTGACCTGCTGTCACCTCCTCCCGCCGTCTTCCCAGTCCCTCTGTCCCAGCCACACTGGCCTCCGCCCTGTTCCAAGAGCACCAGGCACACTCCCTCCTGCACTGCATGTGCGGTGGCCTCCACCAGAAGGCTGTCCTCCCGCAGCCCCACTAAGGTTTCCTTTCTGAGCACTGTCTTGAAACTGCAGCCCACCCAAGCACACTCCTGAGTCTTTCTCTGCTTTTCTAAGCCATTGGTTAATTCTCCCTTGATTCACACACACACATTCTTTGCACCCTCTCCCGTGCACCAGCCCCAGCGACTAGGCAGCAGGGGAGCCCCAGGCCTTGAGTCCATGTCAGCCCCGGGGTGACACCACCATGACTCATCTATGCCTGGTGCTGTGCCCACGCAGTCCCCTCGGGGATGGGGAGCCCTGATATAGTAGTCACTTTCCTGTTGCTGGGACCTGGTGCTGCTCCGCCTCAGCGCAAGCCCCTGACCTTTTGGGGGGGCATCTGGTTCTCCATCAGTCCCAAGGTTGGCTGGAACTTCAGTTCTCCTGAGACAAGGCTGCATGCAAGCTGGAGGCCCGAGCCTCATCTCGGGGCTGGGAGGCCCCCATCCTGACCACTGCCCCGTATCCCCACAGACGTGAATGAGTGTGAGACCCAGCGCTGCAGCCAGGAGTGTGCCAACATCTATGGCTCCTACCAGTGCTACTGCCGCCAGGGCTACCAGTTGGCAGAAGACGGGCACACCTGCATAGGTAGGCACCTCCTTTTTTCTGCCAGGGTCAGGCTGAATGTGCTGTCAGAATGTGGGGCCCCAGACTGGCACCTGATCGGCCCTTGTGGATCAAACCCGTGGAGAGAGCACTGGAATGCGAGTAGTGGGTATGACAGGGACAGGCTGGCTTTGGGGGGCCGTGCAGGTGCCTGAGGCCCTTGGTGAGCAGTGACCCTCTCTCTGCAGACATCGATGAGTGTGCGCAGGCTGCCGGCCTGCTCTGCACCTTCCGATGCCTCAACGTGCCCGGGAGCTACCAGTGCGCATGCCCGGAGCAGGGCTATACCATGATGGCCAACGGCAGGTCCTGCAAGGGTAAGCGGTGGTGGTGACTGGGTGGGCGTGGTCCTCACAGCTTGCTGGGCCCTTGGATGCATGGACGTAGAATACCCCATGCCCGCCGTGCTCTGAATCTTCTAGGTGCAGACTCCCTTCCCTGGGAGGTGGGAAGGGTACCATGAGGGTGCTAATGAGGCAGGGGATTGTCCAGGGAGGATTGGGGCCTCGGTCACTGTCCCCAAGTCTCTGCAGTGCTATCGGGGGTAGGGCTGGGAGGTGGGCCTCCCTGGGAGGAGGGAAGAGGGTCACAGGAAGGCCTGTGTGGGGAAGGGGCCCCATCCTTGGGGACACGCAATTGGGGCTGGGCAGTCACCTGTCTGATTTGCAATAGAGTGGACCCTATCCCTGGGGGGAACCAGGCTCTGTGACACTGAAGAGTCATGGCCATGTTTATTGCCATCTGCCACCAAACTCGGGCAAGCCACCAGGCCAGGTGGAGGGGCAGGTGCAGGACAGGCACCAGCTTCTGCCCTGGAGAACTGACCACTGAGCCCTCCGGCACACAAGACACCTGCCCTGCACTGGCTTCTGGGGCTGCATCCCCCAGACAGTGGAACAGAGCCTGGAGGTCCCTGGTCAGACCAGAGGACAGAGTTAGCATCCACAGCGATCTGAGACCACGTGCTGCAGGCGGCTGTGGTCCCCACCAAGGGCCCTAAGATCAAGTTGGGGGTCTCAGCCATTGAACAGAATGCAGGATGGGACAGGAGAGAGGGTGGCACAGTGTCTGCCAGCGGACCTGGGTGTGTGTCACTCAGTTCTTATCCTGTGTACTTGGTCCCAGTGCAGAAGGATCCCTTACTGGAGGTGGATGTGGGAAAAGCAGGGATGAGCTAAGTCCCGAGGCCCTGTGTGCACTCATGTGAATAGCGGCTCGCAGTGTCCACCTTCCAGAAGCTGCCTTGGGCTCCCTGGCTGTGAAGCCTCTGCTGCACCATCGATGGGCTCAGGGAAAGTCCAGCCCTGAGTCTGTCTGTGTTCCGAGTCACTCCCGGAACCTGGGCTGGCTGCTGAGCTGTGAAGCTAAGCAGCTGTGCCTTGCGTGCTCTTGCCCTGTGTGGACCCAGACCAGACCCTGGGGTGTGGGCTCCCACGGGAAGGAGGACGGGAGGCTCGCCACAGGGAGGGCGTGTGCTGACTGAGACCTCCCGAGCACCCCTCTTCAGGGTCACAAACAGGGCAGGGAAACAGGAAGGCACTGTCCCCTCGGCCTTGTCTGAAGAATGCGCCCCATGAGGCAGAGGCTGTCCTGCTCTCCCCACCTAGAGCCACGCCCAGGCCAGGGCACTGGACCGAGGGGCTCAATGGACAGGAGCTGCTACTAATGTTGCTGTACACACACACACACACGCACACACACGAGTGCACACGCATGCACACACCCACACTCACACTTGGCCCTGTGTGTCTTCAGGTCTTACATCTGCAGATACAACCGTGTTTGAAAATAATCATGAAATAGAAATTGCCCCTCCAGAGCACACATGTGGCCTTTTTCTTACCGTTATTTCCTAAACCAGGTGTGTCTAACATGTAGCCCACGGGACATGTGGCCTGGGACACCTAGTAACGTAGCCCTGTGAGGTTGTAATTTTTTTTTTTAATAAATTTTTAACATTATCATGTGATTTTTCTTTTGGTGGTGGTGATGGGCCCTGAACCCAGGTCCTTCACACTGAGCTACATCTCTAGTCCCTTTTTAATTTTTTTTTTCTTAGCTTGAGATAAGGTCTTGCTAAGTCACTAAGTTTCTAGGATGGGCTCGACTTGGAATGCTCCTGCCTCAGCCTCCAGGAGTGCTGCAGTTATAGGTGTGTGCCACCATGCCCAGCTGTCGGATGATTCTGTGGCTCCGCTGTGTTGTCCTCAAGGGCAAACTCCATAGGTGAATGTGGCGTGGGCAGGGCACAGTGCTGTGCTGCCCCTGATCCTGTACCTGCCACACACAGCCGAATGGGAACGAGTGTGGGTCAGATGTAACATGTGGCTCTGCAGCTTTGCAAGTGGAGTGCAGTGGTGACCGGTGCCAGTGTCTCAGCTCACCCGTGTGTGTGCCGGTGAGGACAGGCATTGATTCTGAGGAAGCGGACACGCAGGTTTTCTTATTTCATAATTACACTTGTGCTTGTCATGTTTTTTTGTGGCATAACGGGAGCCTTGTTACTCATAAGCATTAACTCTTTCTGGATTTGCTGTGTGGCCCCGGACAATCCCTCTTCACTCAGTGTGGCCCAGGCAGCTGCAGGGTTGGATGCCTGGCTCTGAGCCCCACGGTGTAACAGGGATGGGCAGGGCACACACGCAGCCGAGGCACCAGAAGTCCGCTAGAGCCGAGGTCAAGCGGCCAGGAGGGTGGGCGGAGGCCGTGTGGACACTGCCACCCTAGACCAGGGATTCGCAGGCCTGTGCGTGTTTGAATCTGCCAGGCCCTGGAGGTGAGCGTTGGCAGATACCCAGGGATAGTGCTGTGTGTTTGTAATATTAGTGGAGAGCTCGCTGGAAATAGCAGAGCATTTTCTCAGGCCCTGAGAAAGCCTTTCCTTTCGGAGCTGCATTCTGCAGTGTCCCTCTGTCCCCGTGTTCTTTGTTTCCCTGCATGTCACCCGGCTATAGGGCTGTGTCCTGCCCTCGCGGGCCTGGACTCTCAAGAGCGCCTCGTCACAGCAGCCTGGTGGCACCCGTAGACAGCCCCGGGGGTGGCAGGAAAGTCCCACAGCAGCCCAGGGTGGAGGCAAGGAGCTGGCTCCCCATTCCTGCCTGCCCATGGTGCCCATGGCCAAGCCAGGGTCACGGGGTGGGGTGGGGTGACCCAGGACACGGGCTGGGGAGCAGCCCTCTCATCTTGAGTCACTAGTGACCTGTCTGCAGGAAGTGGTCTCCGCAGCCAGAGCTGCATCCTGCCACGTCCCGGGGAGTGGAGAAGGTGACAAGCTTTCACCGAGGAGCAAAGTGAGGCCCGGGGAGGGAGCCAATCCTGGTTGCCCTGAAGGAGGACCTGGGGCCCACAGCCTGCACTCCAGGCCGGGCTGGAGGGAGCGGATGAGACCAGTTCTTGTCTTGCCGAAGCTGTGAGGCCTGAGACACACCTGTGGCTCCCAGGACTCCTGGGTGTGCTGCGTGTGGGGTGCCGTGGCATCCCGAGGACACAGGTGACGGCAGGCGTTCTCCGCGCATGGCTGGTGGGGTCGCTGCTGTGATACTGCTGTTAGGAGTCAGCCTGGCATCTGGCAAATGCACCACCTTTTGGAATCAAAGCAGACCCTGCTTCGAGCCCAGCTGCCCTGCTGACCGCTGTATAACCTGGGACAAGATCCTGTCCCTCTCTGAACTTTGTTCCCTCCCGAGTCTCAGGAGAGCGGTGACCTGTGGTGCGCAGGGCTGTTGTGAGGACTGAGAGAGGAGAAATCCCTGCAAGGCCAGTAGGAAAACAAACCGAAGCCATCGAGGGTGTCCCTGAGGCCCAGCGGGGCGGCCCCTGGGGCTTCCCAAGGCTCCTGCTCTGAGCTGAGCAGCCAGACCCCCCAGGGGCAGCCCGAGAACCCTGATCCTATGAACCCACTTGCTTCTCTGGGCTTCGACTGGACACACCTTCCCCAAGTGTTGTGCCTGAGCTGTGTGTGCACTTCACACATGCGTGTCTGGTTCTGTGAGTACACAAGGAAGCGTGGGACTCTGTGTGGCTTACAGGGAGCATCGGTGACCGAGCACAGAGCCTCGGTGTGTTTCAGAGGGGCGAGCAGCCAGGGTTGATTAAAAATGCAGCAGGATGGCGGCAGTGGGGAGGAGGGACCCAGGCAGGGGAGGCAGGGAAGCTGTCCTGGAGGGGGTGATGAGACCAACACCTGAGACCTGAGGGATAAGAAGCCAGGAGTGGTGGCTCACACCTATAATCCCAGCTACTCAGGAGGCTGAGGCAGGAAGATTGCAAGTTTAAGGCCAGACTGGGCAATTTAAGACTCTACCTCAAGGTAAAAAAAAATTTCTTTTAAAGTGCTGGAGGTACAGCCCAGAGGTAGAGCACCTGCCTAGTGTCTGTGGGGGCTGGGTTCCACCCCCAGCTCCACAAAAAGGGAGCCAGCTGGGGAAGGTGGGTACAAAGTGTCCCAGCAGAAGCGGCAGTGTGTGTGCAGGCCCAGGCGTAGGTCTGGTCAGGTGTTGGGGCAGAGAACAAAGGTGTCCAGCAGCGCTGTAGTCATGTGGAAGGGTGGGCCAAGGCTTGGCGTCCCTGGGAAGCACTTGGGTTTCATTCAGGAGCCCGGAGAAACCATGGGAGTCAGGAACAAGGCGACGAAGGCCAGCAGTGAGACTCGGGCTGCAGGCGCTGAGCTTCGGGCGCTGAGCTGCGGGGGGCATGCGTGTCTTCCTTACTTTTCTGCCCTTGCTGAGACAAAATACCTGACACCCACAGTTAAGGGAGGAAAGGTTTATTTGGCTCACAGTTCATAGAGGTTTCAGTCCATACAGCAGAGGGGCGTTGCAGGGGAGAGTCAGTTCGCAGCAGACAGAAGACAGCAAAAGCAAGCAAGGGAAGTGACAAGGCACAAGGGCTGTAGCAGCTTCTTTCTGCCACTTTATATTCTGTCTAGGTTACCTGGCTTAGGGCAGGGGCAGCGACTCACACCCCTAATGCTAGCATTGCACTGTGAATCAATCCCAGCATCACACCCTTAACCCAGCGTCACACACCCTAGACCCCGTCACCTCTGAAAAGCCCCACCTATGACCCATGGGGCTTTGGGGGACATAACAGCATGGTACGGAGCGGCACAGGAGATGTGTTCGCAAAGCCAGGATGAGCTGTTCAGGCTGGGGTGCCCTGGCCATGGGTCCCCCTCATCTCCCCTCTGCTCCCCAGATTTGGACGAGTGTGCACTGGGCACACACAACTGCTCGGAGGCTGAGACCTGCCACAACCTTCAGGGCAGCTTCCGCTGCCTGCGCTTCGAGTGCCCTCCCAACTATGTCCGAGTGTCTGAGACGTGAGTGCCCCTGACTTGGGCGGGGACCCGGGGACCCCACACTGCACCCATGCTGCCTGGGCCAAGGGACAGGGCCCTGCCTTGACCAGCTGCTGCTCCTGTTTGCTTGCACACACAGATAGTGTACCAGCCATCTACTGCTGTGTAACACATTCTCCCGACACTTAGCACCTTCACGTAGGAAGCCATGAGCATGAGCTCATCCTGTTTCTGAGGGTGGGGACCCTGACAGCAGTGTTACTGGCTGTCTCCTGGGGCTGCGTCATCTGCAGGAGCCACTGGGGCCTGGGGATCCCACACTACCCTCTCTCATGGCTCTGGGCAGGAGGGCTCAGCCCTCCACACCTGGGACTCTCCAGGGGCAGCTTGTGACCCGACGTCCCCCAGTGTAAAGCAGGTGGCAGAAGAGCAATTGACAGCCCTTTAGCCTCAGCTAACCTTGGAGGTGACTGAACATGGATTCTGAACATGCTTGGCTGCCACACGGCTGAGCGCTGTCAGAGGGAGCCTGCGGGGACCAGGCAAGGCCTGGTGCCGCGGGCAGGGGGGTGGGTGCTGGGAGGATGGGCGGGAGGGAGGCAGGAGAGAAGGACGGAGAAAGGGTCAGAGCGATGGAAGGGACAGGGATGAGCAGGAGATATGCTTGGCGCTGTCTGTGCAGGGAGCCCACGGGGCTGTTAGGAGCCCTGTCACAGGTAAGGATGCTGGGTGGCGCTGTCCCATTGGTCCAGGGATGGGACCCGGTTAGCCCGGCCTCCAACCAGGCCCCGCCCACGTGTCCCCCACGCACTGACCAAGCCCCGCCCCACAAGCCTGGACACTAGGGCCCCGCCCATTGACTAGGCTCCGCCTACAGAGTCCTGTCCACCAACCAGGCCCCCCCAGTGGGCAGGCCCCACCTCACAAGCCCCATTCACCAACCAGGCCCCCCTTAAGCCCCGCCCGCTGAGCAGGCCCCGCCCCACCCCGCAGGAAGTGCGAGCGCACCACGTGCCACGACCTGGGCGAGTGCCAGAGCGCGCCCGCGCGCATCACCTACTACCAGCTCAGCTTCCAGACGGGCCTGCTGGTGCCCGCGCACATCTTCCGCATCGGGCCCTCGCCGGCCTTCGCGGGCGACACCATCTCGCTGACCATCACCCGGGGCAACGAGGAGGGCTACTTCGGCACGCGCAGGCTCAACGCCTACACCGGCGTGGTCTCGCTCCAGCGGCCCGTGCTGGAGCCGCGGGACTTCGCCCTGGACGTGGAGATGAAGTTGTGGCGCCAGGGCTCCGTCACCACCTTCTTGGCCAAGATGCACATCTTCTTCACCGCCTTCGCGCCCTAGGCCGCCCGCGAGTGGCTGCGCGCCCTGTGCAGTCTCGAACTCTCAGTTACCTGAGTTCTGCGGACTCCAGTTCTCGGTTTCCGGGCCTCTCCTGCGCCCCAGGACGGGAGCTTGACTGCGGGTCGGCTCTCGAGGGCCTCCCCGGGTGAGGACCGAGGCTGGAGGGCGGCTCGGATCAGATGGGAGCAGCCACTGCGCTGGGGCTTCCGGACTCACCTGGACGACCCGGCCTCACGGCTGACCTTCCGTTTCCTGATCCACTGTGATTAGTTCTTTTTTAAAAAAAATCATTTAAAAGGGTTTTTTCTTGTTTCGTTGTAAAAGTAGCACATGTACACTGTAAAAACAATCAAATAGTACCAAAGGGCTATAAAGTACAAAAAAAAAAATTGACCACTGCTTAGTCCCCTTCCTTTCTGTCTGATGTTGTCATCTGACCCCGTGTCTGAGTGCCAGGGATTTCCACCCGACAGGAGTGTCCACTGCACCCCAAAACCCAGGCACGGTCTGAGCCCACCTGTGGACACGGGAGACATTTTAGATCCAAGCCACAGCGCCTGCCTTGGTGTCCTGCTGGGGCAAGTGGCCCCCAAGCCAGGGCTGCCAGGGGTGAAGCAATGGCCCGTCTGTCACCTGACACTGGTGACACCCCTCCCTCTTTCCCCATACCTCTGCCTCCCCTGCCCTAAATTCAGACCTCGGGCGCTGGTTTGTCACTTTTTTGTCTCCCAGCGCTCTAGGACTCGTCCTGGTGGCTGAAGGCCAGAGCCGTCAGGCCGGGAGACGACTCAGGCAGGAGAGGGCAAGCGGCGGCTTCTTCAGACTCTGGTGCTGGTTTCTGACCTCTGGGGGCTGGAGCCAAGGAGGAGACATGAGAATCCGGGAAACTGCGGCCTGAGCAGAGAGGACAAGGCCCACAGCTGAGTGGCAGAAGGGGCACGCGGCCCGGTCTGAAGACCCCACAGCCTCCCACCTGCCACCCCGTGGCCTCCTCTGAGCCAGGGACTTTGCAAGTCGTGTGTGACTTAAGTTTTGGATGAAATGGGGTGGCACACAGTGTGGTCAAAATCGCATAGAAGCCGGTGTGGTGGCTCATGCGGGAGGCTGAGGCAGGAGGATTACTGTGAGTTGGAGGCTACGTAGTGAGTTCAAGGCCAACCTGGCGTACATAGTGAGACCCTGTCTCAAAAATAAATAGATAAAGAAGACCCAGAACAGGCAGTGTCCGAGTACTTCCCACCCGGGAAGGACATCCTGCCAGACTGTGATGTGGACTGCTGCTGGCCCGGGCTCACTAGGAAATCCGTTTCTCACTCTGAGTGGTGGCAAAGTGGGGGGAAGTGGCCTGCTGGGAGCTGTGGCCCAGAGGAGCAGGTGACCCGTGGGTGGGTGTGGCTACTGCCAGCCCTAGGTGTTGCAATCTACCCATCCCATCGCCCCATGGCCATATGTTCTCCTTCAAGGTGATTTCCTAAACTTATTTGGGGGGCTACTTGGGGACTGAGCTCAGGGCCTTTGCACTAAGTTACATTCCCAGCTATTTTTTTTTTTTTTTGGTACCAGGGATTGAACTCGGGACCTTGCACTTGCGTGGCAGGCGGCGGCACCACTGAGCTAAATCGCGGCCCAATTTTTTTCTTTTTTTTTGAGACAGGGTCTTGATAAGTTGCTAAGTTTCCCCGTACCGGACTTGAACCTGCAATCCTCCTGCCTCAGCCTCCCAGAGTGCTTAGCTTTTAGGTGCGGGCCACTATGCCCACCTGAAAACCATATTTTATACAAATCCTCCCAATTTTAAGAGGCAGTGACCAGTTAAAGCGTTTTATAAACAGTGTGGGCAAAGCAAAGCCCCTTACAGTGGAGGTTCCTCTCCTCCCCCTCCTCTCTGGCCCCGTTCCCAAGGGCGTGTAGCAGAAGCCGGAATGTGCCTGTCCCTCTCTCCCTCTCTCCTCCATTCCTCTGACTTCTCACTTCCAGAAAAGCCAGAGCTACAATGCTGTTATGCAGTCACCTGCCGGTCAGGTGGGTGATGGGCTCCCACGTGAGGGGCAGGTTAGGGACACCTCGCAGTCACCCCGCTCCGCACAGCCCGGGGCTCCCTGGGGAGTACTGGGCTGGAGGCTTCGCTCTCCGGGCTGTGTCTGGCTCTCCTGTGAATGGGACACGAGCCATTCAGTCTGAGGGTGGCTGTGGCAGGCTCGTGAGCAGCGTGGAGAAGTCACCAGCATGGTGCAGACTGGAGAGCAACCCTTTCTGCCTGAATGTGCAGCGCATGCGACATCAGCCCAGAGCCTGGAGGCGCTGCTGGCGGGGACAGTCCCCACAAGATGGCCCTTATCTCAGGCCCCTCAGGTCCACCTTTGCATCCAACCAGCCAGCTATGAATCTGGGGCCCCCTGACTCCCCTCAAGTGTGTTCACGCCCCTGAATGACTCAAGAAAGTTCTATAACCACAGCTGTATTATAGTGACAGGGCCCAAATTACACCTGTAATCCTAGCACTCGGGAGGCTGAGGCAGGAGGACTACTGAGCGTTCAAGGCCACACCACAGCTCATGTCCCTCCCTTTCTTCCTTCCATCTGTCTTTCTTCCTTGGTACTTGGAATTGAACCTAGAGCCTTCACCCTGGGCTACATCTCCAGCCCTTTTTTTAGTTTTTATTTTGAGATAGGGTCTCTAAATTACTAGGAAGCTGGGCTAAGCTGGAACTTGCCATCCTCCTGTCTCAGCCTTCTGAGTGCTGGGATGACAGGTGTGTGCCACCATGCCTGGTTCTGTATTTGTCTTTCTGTGCCTGACTTTCCAATCCCCCAATCTCAATTGAGCAGAGCAGACTTATTTAGGGCCCCTCAGTGTTGGGGGCCCACAGGGGATTCCACTGCCCCCCAATTTCCAAGAATGCCCCGTTCAGGTCTTTGTGTTGACCCCTCCTGTGTCGCCATCTTTGCCATTTCTAAGCACCTGTGCGGTGCCTATCCGCTGGGGTGAGTCCCTGGCTCTCCTCGTGGCTTCCCGGGATCCTGGCCACCATCCTCTCCTTGCCCCTTGCTGTGAAAGGGCTGGAGAGTCACCCTGTTGCCCCCACACTTGCTCCACCCACTGCTTCTCCCCAAGTTTCCCCAGCGGCCTCAGCAGCTGGCAGCCTGGCCACCCTTTCCTGTCCTGTGGGAACCCAGGGCCCATGCAGCGGGCGTGGCCTGTCAGCACCGGTGGGAGTGTCTGGGACCACCCGTCTTGCAGGTGCATTGCTTTTGGGGACCTTGGGGACAAGGGCCAGCACTCCTTCAAACCACTGTCCCTGGGGCCTGTGTCATTATGGCCACATGTGGCACGATCCTCCTGCCTCAGCCTCCAGAGTGCTGGAAGCACAGGCATTTGCTGCCACGCCTGGCAATGCCCCTAGCCTCCCCCGTCCCTGCTTGCAGCTCCACCCAGGCACCTCAGTTGTGTCTCTGTGCTGGGAGTGGCTTTGGAAAATAGGGAGTCGGATGTGTCTGTTTTTGTAAAAGAAACTTTTAATTTTAGCATAGATTTGAAAAGACAGAAAAGAGGCAAAGGCAGCGCGGAAAGCTCCGTGCCCCCGACCGACCTCTCTGGTCAGGGTCACGCACGGCCATGTGGCACATGGTCTGACCTGTCCCGTCGCTCTGATGCCGATGTGAACTGCAGTTGCTGTGCTTTCCGGATGAAGTCACAGCCTGACAGCTTCCTAGTTTTTGCCTGATGCCACCTCGCTGCCCCCGGAGCCCCCGTAGAAAAGCAGACTCAGTTTCTCCTGCGGGACTCACAGGACGCACTGACACCAGGCGGGGTGGGGTCCCCCCGGTGGGCAGGGTGTCCTCCTGTCTTTGGACTCAGTTCTGAGCTCTCCACCTGGAGACAGGGCCACATCTGCAGGCTGCGGCTCGGTCCCCAGGATGCCCCAGCTCTGGATCCACTCCAGGCCCCAGCTGCTTTCACCGAGCTCTGGACCTGTGGGCAACAGGCGGGGCTCCTGCCACTCCCTCCGTGGGAAAGACATGCCGGACACGGAGTGCAGGCCGACATGGGGGTTTGCTGGTTTATTACAAAAGTTACTTTAAAGTCTACAAATACGACGGGCCTGGTGGTGGATGCTCATAATCCCAGCACTCGGGAGGCTGAGGCAGGAGGATCGCCTTGAGCTCAGGGCCAGCCTGGAGTACAATATTTCTCAAAAAACACAAACAAAAAGTACAGATAATCAGATGAAGGTCTGGACACCATCAGTGATCAACCCAGCCTCCGCCTGTCCCCTCCCTTCATGGGGCTCACGTCCCAGCCCTGTCACCAGACCAGGGTCCTTCTGGGATTGCCCCACCCTGACCCCCTGGGGCTGCCAGCTGTCAGTCAACACTGGTCACTTCGGAGACACCAAGGAGCGTAGGAGTCACAGAATGGGGTGGAGGGGGGACTAAGGTGAGACGCGTCTCTGTGATGTCCCAGGGCCTGCCCAGGATGCCACATGATGTGGATCTCAGCTCCTGGTGACTGACAGTCTTGGCCTTGCCTTGTTTCAGATGCCCGAGACAGGGCTGAGGCAGCTGGGTCAGGTGTATCATGGAGCACCCGCCCTGGGGCCTCTGATGTTTTTCTCGTGGTGAGACTGGGATTGTAGGTTTCTGGGAGGGAAGACCCCAAAGGAAGGAGCTGCTCTCTCCTGTCACCCAGGGCGCCTGCTGCCCACAGGGGTCGTCCCTGACCATCTGACCTTGGCCATTCTGGGCTGAGGTCGTGCAAGTGGTTTCCCCACTAAAATCCTTTCCCTGCATACTCCGTGGTGTGGGTATTCTGGGTTTCTCTGACGATGTTTGGTGACAGATATCCTGGCCTTGCCATCCTCCTGCCTCAGCCTCCCAAGGGGGCTGGGATTACAGCCAGGTGCCACCGCACCTCCTACGCTGGGCAGCCAGTGGTTTTAAACTTGACATGTGTTTTGGATGTGTGTATCCAGCCTGCCGCTGTCCCCTCCTGGGACCCACACTTTGTCCCGGGATGTGCCCAGGCTGCCCCAGGCACCGCCCCTGGTCCCTGCTGCAGGGAATGGGACCTGTATGAGGACTTCCATGGGCACAATGAGGAGAGCCCTGCTGTCCTGGGGGTCTGCACCCCTCTTCTGGCCACATTTCATCAGGTGGCACCTTTTTGGGTCGTCGACCTCACTTCCCATCCTGGCTCACATGCAGCCCAAGTCCTCAGCTTCACCACCGACCGAGGCTCCATCCTGTGGGCTGAGGCCCGGCCGCCCCTTGCTGGGCTGATGAGGTAATGAGAGAAGTTCTGAGCCATCCTGTAAAGAAAGAGCGAGACACTTCACATGCATGTTATGTTTTGAGCCTTTCTAGAAATCCCAAGCTTTCTCCTTGCGGTTTCC